CGTTTCCAGTTTATCACACATAATTTTAATCGCAATAAAAAAACTTCTTTAAATAAATTTTTTTTTTTCAATCAACTCAGCCACACAATATAATATAATATACATTATTATAATAATATATATGGTGATCTTATATTATTTCTTAATTAATCTTTAATAATCCAAAAAAAATGTCTACTGCTTATTTTAAAAATGTATGAGATAAATACGCATTGAATAACGTTTTAAGTAAAATTGATTTTATTCTCTATACTAAACTTTTAGAGCTAAATCTATAGTTTTTTTTTTTCACAAAATTAATTATAACCTAAGACGTGAACTTAATCAAACTTACCTGAAATAATTTTCTTTAACCATCCACTGTTGGGTCTACTGATATTATTGTATAGATAATGTAAAATATATATTATGATAGGTACGATAAGAAGATATAGGTTTATAAACATTTTTTTCAAATACACAATCTGAGTTTATTAAAATTTGAAAATAATTTAATTTGTCGTAAATTGCATCGAAGTTCTAACTAAAAACGAATTTTGAGTCGAAAGAGCCCAGGGTCGCAAAATTTGTTTTTATATTTTACGAAATCTATGTCCTATACAAYGAATAAATTATTCTTGATAGTCATTATTTTTATTCATAAAATAATCTAATTTATAATTTTTGGAGTTCCAGACCCCTGAACCTCACCACAAGTCTGCTGCAGTAGATATAATATATTAAAACTGTATTACATATGTGCATGATATCGAGTAGCCATGCTGTTTTTCTTTTGTACTTTTAAGACGGCGCACTAAGTATGCAAATCCGATGCACGCAAGCGCCGAAACAAGTCGGTTGCCTAACTTTCGCTGTTTAATAATAATATAATTTATTATTTTCGAGATTGTGTTTTCAATTTAGGGTATCTGCTCGGGARTACAAGTTAAATTAGGTTGAAAACTTTAGCTTCTATTCCACACACAATAATAGATATATATTATATATATTGAAATCGAATCTTTGGTTTAACAAACACAACAATGGTACGCAGTACCTTATCGATTGCCGCTGAACGAATAGACGACACGGATACGGCTAAACTTCTGAAAAAAAATATATTATAAATATGACATTTTTATTTAATTGTTGAATTGTACTATTAGACATCCGTATCGTGACGATGCAATCATCAGATCATAATAATATACAATGGAAAGAGTCATTCGAAAAACCTGTAAAGCCAACATAACTATACATTATACTATATAGGACCACGGCTGTAGTATGCACATTCGCGTGACCTCGTGTCATTTATCATTTTATATCAATATCGAAAAGAATCAAAGATGATAAAAAAAAAAAAACAGTTTTCTCCTGAAAACGGATTGATACAAGCAAGTGGCACGCATGCGCAGATACCATGAGATCCATGTATAATATTATAGTCATGTCGGCTTTGACTCGTTCTATACGAGCTGATCATACACAATTACCATCCGTTTTATATAACATTAGAGATCTACGATGTGATCGTCATAATAATATGATTGCGATAACGTGGCAGTGATCGAACGACTCACAGGCGCATGCGCAAATATTGTGTCTCAAGGATTAGAGCGGATGAGCGGATTACCGTGTGGCCGACGTTCATAAAATGCAAGCAAAAYAATATACGGAAACGATGACGACGAAGTTATTGTAACGAAAACAGACGACAAGGATTCCGTGTAGAGTTTAAAAACGGAATAAATGGTTTTTTTTATGCGAACGCCGTTGAACGCATCATATAAATAAAAAGGGTTTCTTATCTCTATCACTCTCGTCTGTGTGTGTTCATACACAATGAATGTGTGTTGGCGTGTACATACATAAAAAGACACTTTGCTCGCAGTGGCTCGCAACACATAAAATATAAAATTCGTATTTTTATTTTTTTTATCTCGAAACTGTTATTATTTTTTCTACGAAGTAATTGTGATTTATAATACTTGTATAGAACACATTTTAATATAAATTTTTGGGTAAAAATTAATTTCGTATATTCTGTATTATGCGCTATTTTAGATATATTATGTGGTAGGTACTTTGATTTATCTAATGTAAATCGTTTTTGGATGACTTCGTGATTGTGTACACTCCAATGATACAAAACGTTGGATTGTTCATTATATTGTGTTTACATATGTGTGTTTTTTTTTTTTTAATTTGTTAGCTAACTTAATTTTAATATTACAAACAGAAAAATAGCTGTTTAAAAATATTGATATATTAATATACGTAGTAATAAATAATAAAWATGAATTTTAAGTAGATGCGAATAAGTGGTGGTGAGTAGTAGATCACAACTTTTGCAGACCGCCCAACGTGTCAAGTTACCATTGATATTCATAATGTAATTAAATTAAAAACATTTTAGTGTTATAAAAAAAAAGACTATGCAAATTAGTGTACAGATTTCTACGTGCTAAATATACATATATACATATACATATATGTATAATACAAAAACAATAATTGTGATACTTTGCCAATAAAATAATATAATAATAATATAAAGATGAAGTTATCATAATCCGATCCGCAATAGGCTTCAAGGATCTCACCCACTCTTTCCTCAACTCCAAAGAACCTAACAAATGTGTTTGCGACACATGCGAGGATAGCCTTTCAATCGACCACATCGTTGCTAGAATAATTTCCAAGTAATAATCGAAGAACGGAAAATTTCTGCTAACCCAACACTTTCCGGTTCTCTTAGCCTTTCTTTTTCTGTGTTACAGCTGTAGGCTAATAATCCAAAATGTTGAAGAATTTATTTTAAATAAAAATAAAATAATAATCATAATATAATATTATCTCGTGTACAGACTCGGTTTGCTGGTTTTTAGCACTGCGACTCTATTACTTATATTATTCTACTTACTGGATGAAGCTGTCCGTAAGCGTTGAACGTGTTTCGACAAAAATTTATCGCTTTTAATATTTCATCTCCGAAGGAATTCCGTGCAGCAAAGACGTTTCTATTTTCTCGAGTCAAATATATTAGTTACCCCTCGTAAATTTATATATGTGTGTGTGTGAGTGTGTGTGTACGTATAATAATATATAAATTGTTTAGCGAAACATAAATTTAAAAACATTCCGGAGAAATAAACCGACGGCGCTATAAAGTTTTGTACGAAACTCGCGATTCTCAAATTAGGTTTTGCGGCAGGACAACATGACCAATTATAATATACATATTTTATGTACCTATTATATTTAACTTTAAACTTACAAAATGT